AAAAATAGCAGCATCTGTATTCAAAGCTTACCTTAAAGTAAGAGCTTGCGAAACTGGCGTAAAAGAAGCTGCTTGGCATTTCTGTTGCTGATGCCCTTAGTGTTTTCCTGTAAAGCTGGACTCTGTTGTTTTTCAGATACCTGTTTATCATGAATTACCTGCTATACAGGTCATGTGTGCAGAACAATTTGGGAAAGGTCCTTGGGGGAGCAGTGACAAGGATGTCCCATCAGGATGAGAAGATGTGTGGGAGATCAGAGAGGACCTTTTGCCCTCAACTTGGAAGTGATTGCTCCTCTTGATGGTGCTGGTGTCCTCTCCTCACACAAAACAAAGCAGTAATTCGTATGCAGATTTTGCTGTGTTAAACAAGGTAGGATTGTGTGGGAGGTGCTATTAAACCTTTCTGTTGTTATTGAGGTTTGGAGAGATTCCAAAGAGGAGTACTCACTTAACTACCATATAAATTTTTGGCTCCTATCTGGTAGCCTTTAAACACCAGTGGTCTAACTCCACATGACTATAGATTTCAGTCATCTCTTTTCTTCTGAATAATCATCAAACATTACTGTTAAGGCAGAGGTGATGTAAAGGTGGTAAATGAGGTGAAAGGCTAAGCTCCATCTGTTAGGGAAACAGGGGAAATCTCTGAAGTGTTCCTAATAACTTGACTTTTGATCCTAACAAAGTATCTCTAGAAGTGCTTTCATGAAACAATATGTCAAGCTTGTCTTTGGAGGTAGCTGTCTACTTGAACAACTGTTCATCTGGAGTAAGGAAGGGTTTTTCACATTTCCTGTAAATAATGTGTGATTTTTGACTCTGAAATCTGACTGTATATGTCTCAAGTACTGCATAGGTCCTCTAAGTGTGGCAAGTGCTCAGTAATGTGTATGTGAAATTAGTTTTGTTATTGTTGGTTCTTTTTTTTTTTAAGTTGTTGATAAATTAAAGGCCTTTTCTAGGGAGATGAGGAGGGAGACCTTTTCATGGAAAAGTTAGTGTTTTCCTTGCCTAGTGAAGTGTGATATCTTCAGATTCTGCCTTGTGATTTAGAGCATCCAAGCTACTTTGTTGAGAGCAGCTGGAATACTGAAATTTCAAAATCAGACTTGTGGTGATGTTTGTAGTTGTGTGATCATGCTGCTTTCTAACTACATTTGTAGTTCTGTGGGTAGCCCCAGCTGCAGAACTGTTTTTAATCTGCTCAAGAGCCTGGTGTTTTATACTCATTCCAAAAAGCATCTTCAAGAATCGCTACTAAAAACTTTGGTCTGCACCAAGGTATTTAAAACTGCCTGCTCATCACCAGCTCACAAGCTGAAAAAAGCCACCTAGATTTGTATTGTTACTGATAGATCCAGAAGACCCGCCAGTCTGCTTTTTGCTCATTTCCTGACTATGGCTTGTAATTGTTTCATGCTTTTTGATCTCTAATACACATTATTTTTGCCTCCGTAGGATGGATCAGCTCATATTATGATCCCTCTTTATAGTATAAAGTTGTCCTTTAGCACAGGAACCAGCTGAAACAGCGATGGATGGTACACATCCCTAGTTTGCAGGAAGGAAGGGAAATTACTCACACTGCTGCATGTGGTGTCTCTCTTGTTTTTCAACCTGGATATAAACAAGCTTTTCACTTGATCAAAGTTCAGATTTTGGCTTTGATGATAGTGCCGTTATTTCAGGTGCCTCAGAATAAGTGGAAAAATTAGATGGTAAGTTAAAGTTAAGCAAAAATGTCTTGCTGCTTGGTTGCTGGAACATGCACATTGTTTTGAAATATGGGGGATTGAAGGAAGAAGAAAGCTGACACAGAGGACTTAAAACTTGTTTGCTGTAGCATCTGATAGATGTGGATCCTTGAATGCCCAAAGGCTCCTGTCAAAGAGGGGGAAGCTGGTCTCATCCTTGCCTGTTATTATTAAGTGTGCTTAAATCCCATGGGAGACCTGGCATGGAACATAAAACTGCCTCAGCTATTGACTAGTGGAGCACAAGTCAGCTGTCCCCTGGAACGCTCTGCGCAACCTTTGTACAAGATACCACACTGGTGTCAAGCCCGTGGCAGTGCTCCCATCTCCTGGGAAGGCATGGGTAGAGGGCAAAGGGAGCTATCTGCTCTAGTCTCTCTGCTATGATCTCTGCTTCCCCCCCACCAGGATGGGCTGCTGTGCCTTTCTGGAGTTAGATGAACCTGTGGAGCTAAAGTCAGATGACTTAGGAAGAAGGAATGTACTTTTTCCAGTAGGGTTGATAAACATATCTGTGCAGTAGAAAGTGACTTGAGTTACATGACCCTGTAATTTCTGTCTGCTTTGGGAAGAGTCCACTGCCTCCTTTGCATACCAAAATGACAAAAGAGACTGCAGCACAGCAGGATGTTGCAAGCTTTTGAGCATTACAAAGGCTTGTCTCAACCTGTGTCCTTTTTGACACTGTCTAGCATGGACTCATAACTGCAGGATTTCTGTAGCAAAAGCTTTGTGAGGGGACTGTTGCATGCTCGTTCTAAACATCAAGCAGAAAATGTTCTTCCAGGTTTTGATTACCCCTTTGAGAGAATTTGAAAAATGAGAAGTTATTATTTCTGCTAGTGTATTTGGCTAAGACCATTAGCCAAGTATGTTCTTGCTCTTCTATGTGATAAGTGACTTACCTGTTGTGGAGATTTTAATTAATTGAATTCAGTGGTTCAAGCTTGGTCAGAGGATGATTGTGAGTGCAGGTCTTCCTGTACCCCCAAACCTGTTTCATAGAAGAAATGTAGAAATGACAGTATTGTGAATAGTTTCTTCACTGAACAGTATTTTGGTTTGGTATTTCCCAGAACTTTTATGGTCATAACACTACTGAGGATGTTGTATAGCCAGAAAGTACTGAGTTCCTGGAAGACTTATTACCTTAGCAGCAGCAGAACTGAGAAAACAAGTGACTATATTGGCAGGGTAAGTTGTGATTCAGCAAGACTTGATACATTAAGCAGTACTGGCTCCTACTGGGAAGTTGTGTGGTGGAGATAATGCCATGAGTCAGGATGCTGACCTTCCAAAAGGGAACTGCATCTCCAAACACCCCACAGTTTGGTTAGAGTGGAGAGGTGGAAAATGCGTGGTTTAACTTTGGTCTGGGTCCTTCCTGTGCAGACCAGTGAGCATCATCTGTATCTGTTAAAAAAACAGGCTGCTTAAATTGTTAAGGGGTGAACAGGATAATACCCTGATCTTTTCATTTGAGCTCACTTCTCCCAGATCCCCTGTCTGTCTTGAATATGCCTATTATATTCCTAGAAATAGTATGAAGTCCTGTGGAGGAGGAATTAATGTGCATAGTGGGGAGCCACAGAGTCAGCCCTCATTGGCTGAGCTTCCCATCCCTTAGCAAAGCTGCCATGTAGGGAAAGGAAGGATCCAGGCCAGAAGGACTACCCTGACATCACAAGCTATGGGGTGGAAAAGGGGGTGTAATTGTTAACCCAGTAAAAATGAAGCTGAGATAGCAGGGTGTAATAAAAGCACTCTGTGGAACTGAGTCAGATGAAGGTCAGGAAAGCCTTTTGGCCTGAGAACAGGTTAAACTGGTTCCATCCTCACTAGGACTGGAAATGAGAGGAAATCTCCTGATTCTGATGTGTTTCTGCCAGGGGGTTTAGCAGGAAGCAGGTCAGCCGGGAAGCTTTGACACTCACTAGAGAGCAGAGCTTACTTTTATCACCTATTGCAATCTCATTCTCTCAGTGCACCCACTGGAAAAGAGCAGGTTAATCCCAGTGAGCTGGCAGCCCTTCCCAAGGGCAGGAGAAGGGGCTCTCTGCAGCTGTATCAATAGAGCTGGGGATTTGGCCCGTTCCTCTGCTGCTCAGAGCTCTAAAATTAGAGCTGAGGGAGTTGGGGCTGTTCAGCCTTGAGAAGAGGTGGCTCAGGGGAGACCTTATAGCATCTTCCCAGTATGTAAAGGGGGCTTACAAGAAGGTTGGAGAGGGACTTTTCACATGGGCAGTGACTGGACAGTGATCGGACAAGGGGGGATGGCTTTAAGCTAAAAGAGGGTAGGTTTAGGTTAGTTATCAGGAAGAAAATCTTTACTGTGAGGCTGGTGAGGCCCTGGCACAGTTTACCCAGAGAAGTTGTGGATGCCCCATTCTTGGAGGTCTTCAAGACCAGGCTGGATGGGGCTCTGCGCATGGAAGGTGTCCCTGCCCATGGCAAGGGACTTTGAACTAGATGAACTTGAAGATCCCTTCCAACCCAAACCACTATGGTTCTGTGAAAATGCCAAGAAATGAGCAGTTGCAGAGTCAAATGCAATTTTAGGTTTGTTCAGCTTGGAAAAATCTTGGGTGCAGTCCTTTTTTGTACTGAGACTGCATGTCAATGAAGCTTCCTGTGACTGCAAATGCTGTCTTGGTTTTTAGTGGAATTAGCTGTGTGCAGGCCTTAGTTTGACTTAACCCAGTTAGGACTTTCTTTTGCTTCAGTATGGTGAAACTACTCTGAAAGAAGACTGGCAGAGTTGTGATGTGTCTGTCAGCTCTGTGAATGCGTGCTGTGTGCTCAAGGGGTGTTGTCTAGCTCAGCTCCTGGAGCTTCCCATGCAGTCTGGACTCACTGGCTGGTATGCAAGTAGCAAGGCTGACAGAGGCCTTTCAGGTTCTTGGTGGCAGTGTCTGAACTGGAGCTGAAGCTCTGAGTTGGCTCTCTGAAGACTGACAAGCACAATTGGGAAGTACTGACTAGCAATGAGTGGTGGGGGGGGTTGTTCTGGTGTTTTTTGTTTGTTTGCTTTTTTTCTTTCTTTGTTTCTTCATAGGAACTGTGTATGGGTTTGGGTTTGTGAACACATCTGAGGAAGATGGGTGATGATTTCCTGGTGAAGATATTCTTTGAAAATCACAACCTGTCTTTGATTAACTCTTGCTTTTTTTTTTTTTAAGGTGACTTTTCGTCCTTTAGTGAATACTGCATTTTTGAAATTATTGTTTTCTTTCTGTTTGACAGTGGGCCACTATACGGATAGAAAAAGGTGTCAAAAAGCCACAGCCGCAGATGCTGAAGACTCCTACTGCTAATGGTGAGAGCCTGGGATAAAGTCCAGTTGATAAGACCGATTTTCTGCAGTCAGAGTACTGAGTCCCTTTCAAATAAGTTAGTTAGATGTGTGCATGAGAGAACTGGGAAATAGGTGGGCTGGGTACACGCTGACTTGTGGTTTCACCCCAGCCAGCCCCCAAGCCCCACGCAACCACTCGCTCACTCCCCCTCCAGTGGGATCAGGGAGAGAACCATAAGGGTAAGAGGTAGAGCACTTGTGGATTGAGATAAATAGTTTAATAGGGAAAGCAAAACAAAGAATTCATTCACTGTTTCCCACAGGCAGGCAGGTGTTCAGCCTCTTCCAGGAGAGCAGGGCCTCATCGCACGGAACAGGTACCTGGGAAGACAAACACCATCACTGCAAATGTCCCCTCTTTCCTCTTTCTTCCTTCCACTTTATATACTGAGCATGATGCCATGTGGTTTGGAATATCCCTTTGGTCAGTTGGGATCACCTATCCTGGTTGTGTCTCTTCCCAACCTTCCATGCACTCCCAACATCTTCAGCAGTGTAATAGTATGAAATGCAGAAAAGGTCTTGGCTCTGTGTAAGCCCTGCTCAGCAACAGCAAAAACATCTCTGTATTATCATCACTGTGTTCAGCACAAATCCGAAATGCAGCCCTGTACCAGCCACCATGAAGAAAATTAAATCTACCCCAGCCAAAACCAGCACTCTGATACATCTAATTGTTTTGCAATGCTTCTGGCACTCAAACTGTTCCTGCAAGGTGAAATGCTTCTTTTACTGGCTTGTACTGAACGGTTGAAAAACAGGGAGGAAATTAAGTGTATGAAATAACATTTAAGTTTAACAAAACACAGTAGAGCTCAAGATGGAGACCATCCTCAGTTGATGGAAGTTTTCAATTTTAAATATAAGGTTGATTTTTATCTTGAAATCTCTTTAGGTCACTTTTTGCATGGTTGCTGGCCAGCTATCTCAGTCCTAACAGCATCAGAATACACTTAAAATATTTCTCTGAGGAGATCTGAATGTTTATTGGACAGTACTTTTCTTTCCCAAGCTCAGTGCTTTTCTGTGGTAGGTCTGCCAGGTTGAAGTGTGTGGTATTATACATGTTCCCCTTTTTCAGTCTGCTTCTATTGACCTTTTGCCCCCATGGAGTTTATATCAGTGTTTGTCAAACTTCTTACACTCCTTGTCTGTAGAAAGACAACTGAAAAGTTGCTTCATAACTCTTCCTTTAGCCTAATTTTGAAATTAGTTCTTTTACTGTATCTTAAGCCATACTCTGTGTGGCTGTAGTAGGTCAGTTGGTAGGCTGTAGTAGGTCAGAGTTGGCTGTAAGACTTTGGAGCTGTGAGAGCAGTCTGAGTTTGCCCAGGAAACAGAAGAAGGCTCAAAAAGGCATTGCAGCCAGCAGTTGGTTTTCTCTTGGTTCCTGAATGCCTCAGTACTGCTAATCATTCGCTCATTTTTGACAGCATTTGGCAGCAATGTCAGCATTTTCTGTGTGCTCCCTCATTAGGCAGCCCAGCTGGAAACAGGCCCAGCTTGCCAGTTAGTAGACAAGTCAGTTGTTACCTGATTCTAGGAATCAGCTCATGCAAACATGACGCAGTAATGGGGAGTGAATTGCTGAACTGGTTGTGCGTGTTTCATCTCCAGAGGAGTATCCTTATCAATACTGTAAACACTGGTGTTGTGCTATCTGCAGGCCAGGCATGAAACAGGCTTCGATGGTAGCAGGTGCAACTGTCAGCACCTGTAATAATAAACTGGAGATACTGCCCAGCAGCTCTTAAAACAGCTTAAAACTTGTCTTATTTAATTGCTGACTTTAAAGTGGCTGAGGAAAAATACATCCTATATCACTCACCAGTGTCCTGAAAGTTGTGGGGTGTTTCTGGGGGATGGCGGGGGAAGGCAGGGTCCTTCCAGATAATGTCAGTGCCCTGTTATCTGCTTCACGGGCTGTCAGTGATGCAGCAAGATACCCTTTTTTTTCTTGTAAGGCTAGTGTTGTCTCCTCATTCCATGGGTCAGTGAGAGGGCAAGAAATACAGCTGTGCTGCTTTAGCTGTGCAGTAGGAACTTTTGTCTTCCTAGACATCTGGTCGCTCTCACATGTAATTATTTCTTCTCAAGAAAAAAAAAGGGAGAGGGGTCCCAATTAGTAGATTTATCAATGAGCTATCTTTCCAAGAAACTTCAAATAGCTCTTTCTCTTGTGTGTGACTGAGGGGTGTATAGTGTTAATATATGCCATGGTACAGAACCTGGACTAAATTGAGTTTACTCCACTGTCTGGAGCAGCACCAATGGTAGTAAAAGTGGTCTGAGATAATTCATGCAGATGATTGCATGAGGGCTGTGCTCAGGTGGTCTCATGGATGGGGATACACAGTTGCAATGGTGGCACCACTTCTTAATGTCCTTTTTGTATCTGAAATAAAAAATTAAAACCTTTCCTTACTGCAGGTGGCTCTTTCTGCAGGAAGCTAGAGTCTTAACTGTTCCTTGTTGAGAAGGTATGGGAAGGAGGGGAGTGAAGCCTGCTGTGCCAAGCTGTGCTCTGTGTATTGCTCTTGGGAGTATTTTAAGCATAGGAATAACTGACTTGTGATTAGGAGACTGGATTCCTCTATGTGGATGAAAGTGCTGGAGGGTCAGGGCAGGTGTAGGTCTAACAGTGCATTACTTAAGTTGGCATCCCCTGAGGTGACAGGACATGAGCAGGCAGAGAGGCCCAATTGCATTACACAATATTTACTGAGGGAGGAGAAATTCCTGCTGATAATGAGTTACAGAGTAGTTGATTAAAAGGGGTTAAAGGTAAATGTTTGTGTGTATGCATGTGCATGTTAAGCATTGAAGGGGAGTGTGTATCACCTTTTCCATCTTTCCTGACCATCCAGTCATCACTAAGAGGTGAGTCAGGATAGGAAGGAGCATTGTAGATGCATGTGCAAGGCCAAATTTGCTCTGCCTGCAAAAAAAATGGTCTTCCTGAAACACCTTAAAATTGGGTCTGTCAGTAATAAAAAAAAAAAAAAGACAAAAAGATGACAGCACAATTGAGGAGACACCACCTTCCTCTGCAGTACCAAACCCAGTATATTTCACATCTCTTGGCAGAAATGGCAGCCACTCCCTCTGCACCGGTGGTGTGATAAGGAATATTCCAGGGAGAAATGTAGTTGCTTTGGTCAGTTACCTGGTTCTGTCACCTCAGGGTCCCTCTGTGTTAGAGGCCAATGTGTTTGTGCTGGAGCCAGTGGTAGCTCTTGGCTGAGCAGGTAGCTGGAGGCTTGATGCCTGTCTCACTGCAGCTGATTAAGCAGCTCTCAGCTCTGTGTGGGTGTTGGCTGTGTTGTCTTCAAGCTGGTGGGTTTAAAAAAGACAAAAATGCTATTAAGTCAGTTTTGAAAATTACATCCATAAAAAAGAAAAGTTTATGCAAATAATATTAGTAGAGTATGTGAGCTTGAAGGCTTGGGGTTTGTGCAGCAACACTGAGTAAAGCTGCTGCTATGGCTTTTTGTTTGGTTGAGAGTGATGTTGGCTGTTATCCTGCATAGTGCTGTCTTAAGCAAACTCAACTCTGCCCATGGCCAAGGATTAAAGGCCATTAAATGTTCCTTGAGATTACAAGAAGGCTAAGTACATGACCAGAGCAGTATGTGGTATCATTTTGTTCGTAATACCTTCGTGTGCTGCTGAGATCGTGGCTGGGAGTAGCTTGTCCCAGGGCTGGTGCATGGGGGTGTCATGTGACAAGGACAGTGCAGGCTGATGAGGCAAGACAGTACAGCTGTGCTTTCTCAGCTTGCCAGCAGATAATGTTGAACCTCGGGCTGGTTTCAGTGAAGAAGTTGTAACCAGGTGAGCCAGGTGCTTGACTGGTGCTGAACTAGAGTCTGGATAAGGAGGAAATGTTCCTAGTTCTGGCAGCTGGAGAGAATAGTGGTACTTGTGTGATGGGTGCTAGATAGTTTTCCTGGTTTCTTGCCTATGACCTGTCTCCAGCAGTATGGAGCAGACAGGTTGGACTCATTTGCCTACAGTCCTGGATGTTTCACAGTTAAGGGGTTTAAGGGACTGACTGAGAAAAATTGAACCATAAACTAGAGCTCTGATTTAGGTTTAAAATTCATCACAAGTGTAGTCTATTTTGGTGAATTTTTCATGTGAGGCATGCTTGTATAATTTAGATCCTGAAGGGCATGTGGGTTTTTTTGGTGTGCCATATTAATGATTTATATTTGTAGGCTTGTGATAGGATGATGTGGTGTGAGGTGATGTGGTGGAACTGGAAGTCATGGCTGCCAGGTTCAAAGCTGAAGGTGCTAATAAGTTTTGTTTCAGTGTGACATCTCTTAGTTCTTTAGTGTTTTCCTTAGTAATTAGTGGGACTTGCGTCTTAGATCTTCCTGTGTTATGTGCTACACTGCAATACAAAGATTTTCCATATCACTTGTAATTTAAATGTTGTGTGTGATTTGCATAGCAAATATGTTCAGAGTTTTTCTGCTGGCAAGATTTCATTGGGATGCAGATTTCCTACAAAAACACATTCTACAGTGTGGAAAGTTCCTAGTAGCCCAAAGAAGTTGGTGCTATGTCCTTTCCCTTATCTCAGCATGGAAGCACAAGGATTATGCAATTTGTCAGAGAATGTCTGACAGAGTGGCAACCTGAACTTGGACCTCTGTAATCCAAGTTGAGTGTCTCAGGGGATGGTTGTTCTGGTGAACTGTTACTCTAAATTTCTTCAGTCATCAGTTTCTGGAGCCAGACTTGCTTACCAGAAAGCAGCTACTTGATCTTTATTTTTAGCTTACACAATTTGTCCTTGCCTTTGAAAGCTCTAGTGAGAAATTGGAGCTTATCAGACCATAAATACAAAAAGTGAAAAGAGGGGAGGAGAAGAGGGAATACTTGCTATTGCTACTGCAGTTGTGAACTATCCAGGTTTCTTGTCTTTTGCCATGCATTAAGTGGTCAGAGTTCAACTGAAACACAACTGTTAGGGCTGAAGTAAATTATAGTAAGGCACCTCTAGGCATGACTTTCTTTTTGTGCTTTTGGAGGGTTTTTCTTTGTTTGATTTTAACTAAAATTAAAAAAAATGTGTGGTTACTTCCTTAGGGGAAAGACTTGTGCTCTGAAGGGAGGAAGGTGCATTTGGTTCAAAGCCGGTCTGTGCACAGTGTTGTGGTCTGGGGCTCTGGCATGTAACAGCAGAACACATTTCACCTGAACGTGGCTGTGGGACACCACAATATAAGACGAGATGGGCTTAGAGAACAGGAAAGCCTCCATTGAGAATAAATGCCTATAAATATACAGAGCACAGAAGGGAATGTAAAGGACAAGGTCTCACTTGGTTTCTTCTGAAAGCATAAGATGGCCTTGGATAAAGTTGCAGAGTTGAGAGCATGTTAGATGGTGGGAAAGGGTTTGTGTTCTTGCTTCATGTTCAGTAGGCAACAGAACTTGATGTATTTGCTGCTCAAGAAGTTGATGTGAGGAAGGGGAGCTGGAACTGGCCTCCTGAATAGTAAGCTGTGTTCAACTACCCAGCTGATCTTGCTGTCATAGGAGGGGCTCTGACAGTCAGTGTATCTCCTTGGGTAATGCAGAGTGACAAGTGATTCTGAGAATGACTGTTAATTCACAGAATTATTTCCTCATGTGGTTACCCTTTCCTTCCCAAGGTATCATTGAAAGAGATGAAACGCCTATGGAGAAAGAAATTGCCCGTCTGCATTCAGTGGATTTCGAATTCTCTGACATTTTCTACTTCTGCAGAAAAGGGTTTGAGGCCATTGTGGAAGATGAAGTCACCCAAAGGTTTTCCTCAGAAGAGCTGCTCTCCTGGAATCTCCTCACAAGGACTAATGTCAACTTCCATTACATCAGCCTGAGGCTGACTATTGTGTGGGTCATTGGGGTTGTAGTGCGGTACTGCTTCCTGCTGCCCCTACGGTAAGCTTTTGAGTGCTGAGGGATCTTGGCAGCCTGGGAATGCGTAAATTTGTGTTTTCTTGGTAAATGTCATTTCAGCTTTTTTTAGTCGAAAGGCAGCATTGGCAGATACAGAAGATTAACCTGCTTAAGATGCCATTCAGAATACTTTCATCTTGCCATTCACTGTGGGGAGTAGATTAGGGCTAAGTCATCTTTCCTATGAATGCTTCCCCATAGTCATGTGTATTGGTAATATAAGTGTAAGGTGGGTGAGCTCTAAAGCTCCCTGACACTTTATGCATGGCAGTATCTGAATTTTCTGCCTTTGCTAGACCCATGATTTTGAGCAACAGGTCAGGGAATTACTGAGTTAGAGAACTGAATAAGTCAAGTATCTGAGGAATAAATTGAATTTCTGCAATCCCTTTCTATTTTGTAGGGAGAAAGTGTTATTACAGTGAATAAAACTACTTATTTTGATTTAATGTCTGTGTTTTGTGTAGCATTACGCTCGCTACCATCGGGATTACGTCAATGATTGTGGGAACAACATTGGTAGGACAGCTGCCAAATAGCAGGTAGGTACTGTGTGTGAGGGATGAACTTGCCAAGTTACATCAGTGCAAACAGCTGAAGATTAGGGGTGGACAGATTTTACAAACAACAGACTATTGATAGTCCATTCCAACCACAAATTTGTGACCTTGCTTTTAGCGGCATTCTGAATTTGGGCTGAGGTTGGCTTCTTGCCAGGCTTGGCACTGAGATCTCTGATGGGCTCCTGCTGTCACAAGAGACTCAAAGGGAGCGTTGTAGGGGAGGTATTGGTGTTGGGATGAAAAAAATCCAGTAAGGAGATTACAACCTTGCCTAGATAAGTGACACCAAGAGTATGACATACCTTGGCTGAGCTGCAATAGCATGTGAGTGGTAGAACTGGGAATATCCCTCTGTGCTCCAGAACTCCAGGAAAACTTCAGTTCTGAGTTGTGTTGAGTAGGCTGGAGAATATTGTATGTGTATCTAGCTGCTTTCTGGGATGCTGCAGATTTCTGTGATTTCTTTCAGTGTGAAAAACTACCTGAGTGAAGTGGTCCACCTCACGTGCTCCCGCATCCTTGTCAGAGCTCTGTCTGGCACTATCCATTATCATAACAAGTGAGTGACAATAGCAGAAGTGTGTGTATACTTCTGTATGTGAGCATCCCATTTGAAACGGGAGCTGCTCTTTTTTTACCTGCAAGTTAATGTCACACTCAGTGCTGAGTCACCTGGCAGCTTCATGGAACTGTTGTCTGTAAAGTGGTGCGTAGTGCACTAGTAGTCTAACAAAAAAATATGTGCTTGCAGGGAAAACAGACCTAAGAAAGGAGGAATTTGTGTTGCCAACCACACATCACCGATAGATGCAATCATTCTGACAAATGATGGATGCTATGCAATGGTATGAGCAGATCCATGATGACCACAGCAGAGGGAGAGGAGGGACCATGAGAGGGAAAGACTGTGGGGTATTGGTTGCAGACTTTGGTACTAAACTTTCATGTTTAGATATGTCTGCTTAAGCACTAGTGTTGAAGTTGGTCTACAAGTTACGTGCTGGTGAAGTTGTCCTGGCAGTGTCAGTGCTAGGCTCTTCATCTGGTGAAGTGCTTGGGATACGCTTCCCTGTGTGTGCCTAGGTCCTCTCAAGTGAATGCAGTGTAACAGTTTTGTGGTGTGCAGTCTCCAGTGCATTTGGGTTGGTTTTTTTTAAGAGGGATGGAGAAGAGGAGGTCCTGCTTTTCAAGTGTCTTAGATGCTGATGTGCCTTGCTGGGCTTGCAGGTTGGCCAGGTTCATGGTGGGCTGATGGGAGTCATCCAGCGAGCCACGGTCAAGGCCTGTCCTCACGTCTGGTTCGAACGCTCCGAGATCAAGGATCGCCATCTAGTGACGAAAAGGTGAGGCGTGGGATGGTGTGTCTCTGCTATTTCCTGGTGCCCGACTCCCTGGAGAGACACTGGACAATCAAAGACCCAGACAAGGGTTTTTGGAGTGAGTTCCAGGGGTGGTATGCAGGAAACTGGATCAGTCAGAATGACCCGAATATGCTTGTTTGTGTGGGCTTTGGTGCAGTAGATTGGTCAAAATGTCTGGTGCCAGGGTCACCAAGGAAGCTTGAAAAATTTATACAGGGTGAAATGGATGAGCCCAAAGGTCCTGGTAAGGTCTGAATAGCAGACTGCCACAAAACATCTCAGTTGGGTAGCCATCAGCATAATAACTAACATCTGGTGAATTCAGATATATGTTTTGAAATGATGTGAAGATACTTAAATTCTGGGACTTTCTGTCCCAGAGAAATACTGATCATAAAATGGGCTATCTGTGACACAAACTCTCAGTTACATTTGAAATTGTGAGCCACTGGAAATACCAGGCTTCACTTGTTTGGGTGAGGGGCAGAATCTGTCTAATTATAAGAATGAACTGCTTACAAAAAGTGGTTTTCTGCAGAATGTCACCAAAGGCATACCTGTGGACATGGTAGTGCAGGAATAGAAATTCTTCCTAATTTTTAAAGAACTTTTAAGTCTATTTTGACAGGTTAACTTCTTTACCACCTCTTATCGGCCTCTGCACAACCAGGACAGATTTGCCAAGTTATCCAAGTGTTATTCAAATAATGTGGGGTGTAGGCATTTAGGAACTCACTTTTTATGAAATCTGCTGTTAAATAAACAGAGCCTGGATGGACCACTGCACAATTTTTTTTTTCTTATGTGGGTAATTTCTTGAAGGTTGAATTGATCAGAGCTAGTTGGACTGACTAAATGGCGTACGTTTGTTGGCTTCCCTGACAGACATTAATAAAATAATACAGAGGAAGGAAAACAGGATGTTGCCTCAATGTAATGCACCACAGGCCTAAGGGGTGGCTTGCACAAAGCTTCAGTTTTCTTATAAACAGAAAAGCAAGTACAAATTAGTGTCTAGTAAAAGCCTTTGCTTTCAAGCAAATACATAATATGTATGTGTATTTTTAATACACCTGCCTGGGGAAAGAAGACTGGAAAGGAATTGTCTTTTAAGCTTTCCTTCTGCTTCCACAGACTCAGGGAACATGTGGCGGATAAAAGCAAGCTTCCGATTTTAATTTTTCCAGAAGGTAAGAAGCTGAACTACTTATCTCCATTCAAAGTAGATGTCATTCCTGTTCTCTTTTCATGGCTTCTGCTGCTCAAATATGGCATAAACTTACATGGAGACAACACAGTACTGTCTCTGGCTGTTGGTTCTCCTGACAGAAGCTCTAGGCAGAAGAATGGGAAGACTGTTTATTTTGCCCTGTGAATATCAATTCACTGTCCTATAGATTTAAATTCAGCACTGTGGTTTTTGCCTCACGCATATTCGGGCTTTATTCAGGGAGTCAGTCACAAGACAAAGGATAAAAGTAAAGAGGGGAGAGATGCTTTTGTTACACTCCCTGCGCAGCAAATGCAGGCCTTTATGGGCAAGACCTGTATGCTGATGGAGTGTTGCTACTGAAATGTGGTAGGCTGTGTGAAGCAATGACTTTATCTTCTGGACAGGCACCTGCATAAACAATACATCTGTGATGATGTTCAAGAAGGGGAGCTTTGAAATAGGAGGGACGATCTATCCTGTTGCAATCAAAGTAAGTAGAAAAAGGGGACTGCTGAGTTTTGAAGTTTGGGATATGTTTTTGTCTGAGTGGCAGGAAGCTGTCTCAGTACAGCTGCTGTTGAAGGCACCGTAGCTCTGGTAATTGGCTGTGTGCTGTGGATAACTCCTGGAGTAAAAGTGGCTGAAATGAAAGTGAAGTCCTTTGGCCTATGGAGCCTGGCTGGTAGGTCCCTGATGGGATCAGCTTCTTCCTCCAGAAAGCTGGAAGGAAGGGAGATCCAGGTAGTCCTTCGCAGTGCTGAAGGGAAGAGAAGCATGCTGCTCACAGCAGCTTTAAGTGTTCTGACTGTTCAGGCAAATGGGTGACATCTGCTGCTGGTTCTGTCATGTAATCACAGATCTGGGAGGCTGTGATGGTCTGTGGGGACAGGGTTTTATGATTTGTTTTTTGTGATCCTTTGTAGTATGATCCTCAGTTTGGAGATGCATTCTGGAACAGCAGCAAATACAACATTGTGAGCTACCTGCTGCGAATAATGACAAGCTGGGCCATTGTCTGCAACGTGTGGTACTTGCCACCAATGGATAGAGAGGTAATCTAGCATCTGCCTGACTAATTGCTACTTAAGAACTTGACTGTGTCTGCAGGGGCTCTTTTACTCTTTTCCCCCACAACCTCTACCTACCCCATGCCCCCATATCAGAGTTTTATATTAGATTTTTGTCAGCATTGACTGATGTATGACTGGATGTAGCTTTTCCTGATGCAGCTTGGTACCATCACAATAGTGTCAAATCATCCTGCTGGAGCAAAATTTTCTCAGTTTCAACACTTTAGGGGAAAAAAAGGAATTAAATTATTACCACAAGGGGACATCAGATTGTGATGTTGGCATGATAAGGGACAGATCATTTGGCAGTGAGCTAATTTGATGAGGCAGCAGATAAAAATGTTATGAAAGTCTATTTCAATTCACTTTTCTCTGCTTTGATTATGTTGAATTTATGACCCTTGAAGAAAGATGAAGATGCTGTTCAGTTTGCCAACAGAGTGAGGTCAGCCATTGCTCGCCAAGGAGGACTGACTGAACTTCCCTGGTGAGTAATGCCATCCTTGTTAGACTTCATGGACTTTCTGTTAGTTTGATTGAGAGGTGCTTCCTCCCTTAGCTTTGTGACAGATAACATTCGACATCACTCTGGAGAAAGCAAAGGAGTAAATCCACATGCACGTATGTGAAAGTAAAAATAAAGATGCACAAAGTCATTGGAGTGTGTAGCATGCAGTGATTTTCACCTAAAGGCTTGATGCTTTTGAAGCAGCCCATTCATAGTTGTTTCTCATGTTGAGACTTCTGCTGTGATTAGTAGCAGAAGTGCAGTTACTTGGCAAGTCTGAACAAAAAAGAAAACGGGGCTTGAGGCTTCCTGCTCTGACTTTCTCGTGTCCTACCTTAGTAAGTGGCAGTACAATGCCTAGATTTCATATGAAACAAACTTGAGAGCAAGATTTTGATGAAAAGAGTGGGCAAAGGGATTCAACTATGAGGCCCAGCTGGCCCTCTGAATGATGCAAGGCAAGAGACAACTCTGTTGTTGCAGGAGATTGACTGTCCCTATAGGCTAGGGAAGCAGCATCCCAGATTGCCAAAGATTTCTATTGTAGGTACAGCCTGTTACCAACATGAGTAGGCTGCTTTAGTGGGCTAAACTCAAAATTTGGACTTAATATGAATTGTGGCTTAAAGTTTTAATAAATGTGCTTAAACTTGGATTGTTAGAGAAGTTCTGAAGAAAATACTTTCATAATAATGTTTTAGATTTAGACTTTACAGTTAATGTAATGCATAGTTGGATAATAACTGTTGGATAACAGTCCTGATGGGTTACTTTTCCCTCTTGCTCTATTCCAGGGATGGAGGTCTGAAACGAGCAAAAGTCAAAGATACTTTCAGAGAAGAACAGCAGAAAAACTACAGCAGGATGCTAGTGAGAAATGGATCAGTAGGAAGCCTGTCTGCAGGAACAGAGTCAGACTGAATGGTCGTTCTTGAAAATTAACTTTGCACAACCAGCCTTAGCAGGAATAATGTTTTTTAATTAAAAAAAAAAAAAAGACAAAAAATAGAGCAAGACAACAGCAGAACCCTTCATCACGTGTATGCATATTCTCTGTATGGCTGGTGCAGAGCCTGCCAAGGACAGTGTCTCTGTATTCCTCCTTACTCACTCTTCTCACTCTCCTGCCCCTCCCCATCTTCATGTGATGATGCACTGCAGCTCCTGGTATTCCCAGGCTGAATGCCAGCAGAGTTAAGAGACACAAGGAAAATAGCACCCCAGTTTTTCTGAGTTTTTAAGGATGAAGGGAAGTACACTGAACAGATGCTGTCAGGAAACGGGTTGTGAAGATACCTCTTGTTTATGGTACATTGAAGGTTTAAATATAAAATGTTGCCTTTTTTTCCCCTGTGGCTCACAGAATTTTTGTTGTAGGTTTTTAAAATAACATGTTTTAGGATGTTGTCAGAACTGTAAGATTCACTCTTTGGTTAGCTTGCACCTGGATGTGCAAGGAGGGAATGGAAGCAAGGGCTGCAGAGACCCTAAAAGGATGGGAAAGGAACTGCCCTGCCAAAAACACAGTTCATGGACCATGAGGAATTTGGTGGCCTTACAACACGGTATCACCTTTACTGAGAACTGCTACCTGAGGGAAGATAAGGGGCAAGTCTTTAATGCCCCTGCCTACTGCTATTGTTGAAATTGCTTTCTTGAGCTCTGAAACTGTAAAGGTAAGATACAGGAAACAGTTGGATAATGAATTTTTATGAAGTGGATTTTCAAGAGTACCTTTGTGCAAAAATTGCTGCTGGTGACTTAAAGTTCTCAAGAGAGCCACTCCAGAAACGTGTTTTGTGTTTTCTGGTCTAGCAATAGCTATCACAACTATAAACACAGACTCCATTAAGTCACCTGTGATACGAGACGTGGCATGTCCAAATCTGCAACATATTGCTGTCTGAATGTAATGAGAAATAAATTCTATATTTCTAATGGGTCTGTGTGTCATTTATACTGGTCTCTAAATGTACATAATTAAAAGTTATACTTCCTGAGAACTTTACATTGGAGTCATGGAAACTTCAGTTGCTGACAGAAAGGACTAATTGTAGTTGAGCTCTTACCTGACTTGTAACTTGTTTTTTCCTATTTTCCCTCTCCTTGGACTCTAAGGAGCATGTATAGCATGGTGTTTATCCTTTCTTTTCCAAGTAGGAGTGATTCATCATGCAGATTGAACTTGAAATTACAGGATGAAGCCATATCAGGGAGACTCAACTAATTAATCTATAATTAACTGGAAAACTATTAGCTTCTAAATTTTTAAGAGTTCATTTGTGAGTAGTTTTTTCCTGTGGCAAAGAGAACTTAAATGTAATGCTGGAAAAAAATACTACTGTTCTACAAATCATAATTTAAAAATGTTAAACATAGTTTCCAAAGAAAGGGTTTCCTGAGCTGCTTTTCATTATCTCTCAGTCCATGCACTTGCACAAAGGACAAATATATTTATTCATTTAATATTATATTGACATGCAGCATATCTTTGTCTTGGAAATTTGGTTGTGAAGCCTGTTGGAGGCTTGGGAGAAAACACTGGGGAAGATGTTTTCAGACAAGTGTTTTCAGGTTTAGAATGGCAAGCCTTTAAGAAGGGAATTGTTTATATTAAAAGGGTTCCAGGGGTAAGACAAGTGAGACACGGCAAGCCTAGCTCAACTGTGAACTGAGTTATGTTATTACTATTAAGATGAACTGGTCCTGCAAGCTTTGGGCTAATGAAGGTGATAATTATGACCCTTGAATTTATGGATACTAGCTGTGAGCTTGAGCTTTCCTGGACTGCACTCAAAATAGGAAGCTTTGTAAGGACAACTTACCTTTTCAAAAACATGCCTGCACGTGCGCCTGTGCATATACATATAAAATATAGTTTAGGTGACACGTTTAAAAATCCATTATGTATAAATACTGATGTGTGTATATATATACTAAATATTTTAGGTATATATTGTGATATATTTCTCTGCAGATGGAGCAAGAACTGTTTTGGTGAAGGTTTTAAATATATGATTCCTAAGAGAACCTTCACAGTCAGTTTTATGGGCCCTCTGCTTTCTTCCTGCTTTTGGAGCTGATCATCACTAACTGAACTGCAGTGGCTTTATGAAATCTTGACTGTGCTCACTGGGGTGCTCTGTTAGGTGCGCATTTACAGCAGCAGGATTGTGAGCTTTGGGAAAAGGGCCAAAGACTGCAGTTTGCTTCTCACTTGGGACAAAACTGAATTTTAAGGCAAGTCCAGCTAAGTTGAAGGGTGATGACAAGGTAATTCAGTGACACTGTAATGAAGTGTTGTCTGACAAGCCAAATGGAGTTCTGTGATTCATTACAAATAGCCTCCACAGAACTGATTTTTAACAAACTCTGCCTTATTTTTGAGAGAATTTATCAAGGAAATGTGTAGATGAGCTGTATGAGTGGCACTGGCCACGAGAAGAGGCATCATGCAGTCAGTTCTTAATTGCTGAACGAGTGGAGATGATGTAGATGATTGAATAAGCTGAGGAGGTTTCTAGAACCTTTACATCTTTACTAATCAAGACCTTTTGTGTGTTCTTTGACTCTTGATAGGTGTTTGGGGTTGTATCCCTAGACTTTTCATGTAGCTCTGAAAAAGTGTTCAGGGAGGCTGTACAGGAATAGGTGATGGATTCTCTTCTGCCTACTGTGTCATTAAAAGTGCTCTTAAATTTAACTGCAGAATCTCTGGAACAGGAATAATATATGTATACTAAAAATGCGTATTATTTTTTCATGTTCATACTCTAGGCTGCGATTGAAAAGCTGGCAATATTAGAAAACAAAGCATAACTCAATCATGATCAAATGTGCTCTAAAAACTATCTGTACTTTTGCAAATAGTTCTCTGATACTAGTTAGGAAGAAAAAAAATCCCGCCTCTGAGCACCAAAGATTGTTTTTTGTCACGAAAAATATTACTTAAAATCACTAAGGGTTAAACAACGACATGGAATCAGTTTTCCAGCTGTCATTTTCACTCAGCACACGTGTAAAACATCAAAGAACACACACATATACGAATCACAGAATGGTTTGGGTTGGAAGAGGCTTTAAAGACTATATAGCACCAGTGCCCTACCCTGGTCACGGTTGCTGCTCTATAGATTAGGTGTCCAGCCTGGCGAACACATCCAGAGATGGGGCGCCACCCTCTAAGTAAAGAATTCCTTCCTACTATCTAATCCAAACCTGCCCTCTTTCAGTTCAAAATTATTGCCCCTTGTCCTGACACACTCTGCTCTTATAAAAAGTCCCCCTCCCTCCTTTTTATAAGCCCCGTTAAGGCACTGGAAGGCTGCAATGACGTCTCCCAGCCCCAGCTCCCCCAGCTTGTCTGCACGGGAGAGGCGCTCCGGTCCTCTGAACATCTTCGCGGCCTCTTCTGGACTTGCTGCCCATGTCCTTCTGGTGCTGAGGATCCCAGACCAGGACACAGTGCTCCAGCTGGGGTCTCACCAGAGCTGAACAGGGGACCACCCGACCGCTCGCCAAAGCTCTTTTGATGCAGCCCAGGCCGTGGGTGAGGGTTTCCACCCCAGTACGGAACGGGGGAAAACCCGGACTGGATTGTAACGCGGAGTGCGGAATGGAGGAAAACCCGGACTGGATTTTTTTCCGGAGTACGGAACGGGGGAAAACCGAGGCTCGATTTCCCCCCCAAAAAAAGTTTGAACTTGATGATCTCAGAGAGGTCCTTTCCTACATGGCTGACTCTATGATTCTATAAATATTAGACCATTGAATATCTTAAATGCAACACCTAAAAGAAAAAGAAAAAGCACTAAACTGTTAGTAACTGTAGCAAAATGTATTGGAAGAGATTATGTGCCACATCATATAGTGTAGCTACACAAAAGCTGCAGCATTAGCTGGACCCTATCAGAAGCTAACCAGGTATTTATTTTATGGTACAACTTATGAAAATGTTACATTTTAGTGAGATTTGACCAACACAAGGCTACCTACCACCTAAATAAACCTTACCAAGAAGGAGCGCTTGGTTTGTGGGACTGTCAGTTGTGACTGTACCATTATTCTTACAAAACTCTCAATAAAAAGAAGCACCAGAAAATTTTAATTAAAGCTTACCATGCTCTCATTCCAAGGGGAAGAAAAACCTTAGATTAGTATCAACAGCCAAACTAGATAGGGCACATTCAGCATGTTGCTCAGTTAGCCATCAATCCCTACAATATATTTTTATGTCTTGCCTATGATTGAGGGAGGAATCAATATGTAGGCTGCCCCAGAAACATGATAAACTGCCTCTATTCTTATTAAAAAAAAAGACTTTGATTTAAATATACCTACAGAAGAATGGAGCAAGGAGAGTATTATTTCTAAAAGAAGAAATCAACAAGCATGTTCTTGGAAACTAAAATTAGGTAATGACAGGTTTCAGGTGTGATTCTTCTACCTCCAGAATAGGAAGACCAGTCAGTATTTCTCATTCTCTGCATATCCTTGCATATCCTTGCAATCCGTTACAGCAAGAACAAAAAGATGTATCAGATCATTTTACTGAGCATTTCCTTATTGCCCAAATTTCAGGGAGTTATCAAGAGACTAAGATGTGGTCTTCCAAAACCTCTCTCTTCAACACTATATTCACAAAATTGGAAGACACAAACGCACATACAAAACAGAAGAGCTTTAGCTTTCTGTTAATTAGCCTTTACACACTCAAATATCCTTTTTCTTTAATGGTTACCATCACTGACCTTCATACTTAATATTACTATGAACATCTTTTCATATGGAATAGGCAGCTGCAAGAAGCCACGAGAAACTTTATTCCTTTAAGTACTTTGAGTACTTGACAGCATTACTGTCACTCATTAACAATCAATAAAATTAGTCCCTGCTCATGCCCTTCATTTGGTCACCACCAGAAATCAGCGCAAGACTGAGGAATGGTATGCTCACCTCCTCCTCTGAACACTGCAGCCAGGGAATGGGAGAACACTCTGCCTGAGGGATTGCCAGCAGCTACTTCACATCTACTTTAAAAATC